CAGCAGCAGCAGCAGCAGCAGCGGCAGCGGCAGCGGCAGCAGCGGCAGCAGTGGATTGGCGGATCGCCTGCTCTTCAGAGAGTTCGCTGTCCACCTCCCCACCCATCTAGCTGACTTTCCGTCCTTCTATCTGCCTATCTATCTAGCTAGCTAGCTAGCTAGCTAGCTAGCTAGCTGGCTGGCTAGCTAGCCAGTAGCTGGCTGGCTGGCTAGCTGGCTAGCTGGCTAGCTAGCGAGTAGCTAGCTAGCTGGCTAGCTGGCTGTCTATCTGCCTATCTACCCTATTAGCTAGCTAGCTAGCTAGCTAGCTAGCATGCTAGCTAGCAAGCTCTCCAGCTCTCTCTCTCTCCCAACCAACCCCCGTACCCACCCATACACCTAGCCAGCTACTTAGCTAGCTAACTAGCTAGCTAGCTAGCTAACTAGCTGGCTAGCTAGTTAGCCATCTGTTAGCTCACTTTGCTGAGATTGAGTTTGTACCTGTAGGTGAGGCTGGCGCTGTCGGTGGCCTCGAGTACGTACCCACCTACCTATCTACCTAGCTCACTAGCTATCTAGCTAGCTAGCCAGCTAGCTAGCTAGCCAGCTAGCTAGCTAGCCAGCTAGCTAGCCAGCTAGCTAGCTAGCTACCCATCTACCCTACTAGATACCTAGATAGCTCGTTCTCCAGCTCTCCACCCGCCCCTCCTATCCCCACACCTGCCTAGCTAGCTAGCCAGCTAGCTAGCTAGCTGCAGTTTGGCTCACCTTGCTGAGGTTGAGTTTGTACCTGTAGGTGAGGCTGGCGCTGTCGGTGGCCTCGAGTACGTACAGCTGGCCGGCTTTGTTTCCGGCGAAGCAAAAGAGGCCGGTGTCGTCGAAGCGAATGGCGCGGACCTCCGAGTCCATCTTCAGTTTCTGCAGCACCTGGGGCCCAAAAAGGACAAAAAGCGGCAAAAATGAAAGCCCAACTTCGGGAAAATCAAATGGAGAAGAGGCTGCCGATCGGCTTGGAGAAAAAAGCAGAAAAAATGAGCAAAAAGCAAGAACAAGGGAGAAAAAAGAGACAAAATGACCCGAAATGTGCAAAAAAACAGAATAGCTAGCCAGCTAGCCAGCTAGCTAGCCAGCTAGCTAGCTAGCTCGCCAGCTAGCCAGCTAGCTAGCTAGCTCGCCAGCTAGCCAGCTAGCTAGCTAACCTTTCCAGTGTTGGAGCAGACGAGGCGCAGCAAAGAGTTGCTGTTGGAAGTGATGAAGACTGTGGGGTTGAAAGGCAGCAGCGCAGCAGCAAGAGGAGCAGCAGAGTCGGTGAACACTTTCACGTTTGCCCCCGAGTTCACGGCCCTGCAGCAAACAAGATCTCTATTTGTTTATTTATTCATTTTGTTTATTTATTCTTTTGTTTCTTTTATTTCTTTTATTTATTTTTAATCAGTTGACTCATCCAGCTAGCTAGCCAGCTAGCTAGCTGTCTAGCTAGCTAGCTGGCTGTCTAGCTAGCTAGCTGGCTAGCTAGCTGGTGTGACTGGCTGGCTAGCTGGCTGGCTGGATAGCTAACTCGCTGGCTAGCTATATAGCTAGCTAGCTAGCTAGCTATCTGGCTAGCTAGCTAGCTAGCTAGCTAGTTGGCTGAGAGGAATTTTTTAAATCACCTACGACTTCCTACCCACCACCACCTCATCATTCACCACCATTAACAACTTTATTTATTTATTATTCATTTATTTATTTGTTTATTTATTTATTTATTATTTATTTATTTATTCATTCATTTATTTATTTATTCATTTACATTTTTATTTATTTATTTAAACTGACCAGAAGCGAATGCTCTTGTCAATAGAAGTTGTCACGAGAAAATCTTCGAGCAAAGTGAAGAACAAACAAGTCACTGCACTCGAGTGTCCATTCTGAATAAATAAATAAATAAACAAATAAATAAAGTAGATAAATAAATAAATAAATAAATATAAATAAATAAATGTAAATAAATAAATAAAAAATAAATAAGTAATAAATTGTGGTATGTGCTGGCTTTGGATTTGGGTGGATGAGCGGCGACACGGGGGAAGCAGGCCACAGAGAAGTCCCACAAACCCTAAACCCTAAACCCTAAGCCCTAAACCCTAAACCCTAAACCCTAAACCCCATGTGCAACTGTACAGGACCTCTGCTAAGTGCGGCTGGGCCTCCGCCTCTGAGCTTATAGAGCCAGCATCCCACCGCTACCTATCGAGGGTTCATCAGGGTTTAGGGTTTGGGGTTTAGGGTTTAGGGTTTCGGGTTTATCACCATTCGACTGTGAACAACAATGCGGTCCAAAGTCTCCGGCAACGGCGAGGCCCTCTTAACCACC